GGGGCTTTCTCGCTTTCTCTCTCTCTGTCTCTCTCTGTCTTTCTGGTGAGCGCATGCACCCTATAACAAAAACCTCTCAAAAAATCATAATTTAAAGAATAAAATTACAGATTATAGCCGAGAGAGCATATTAGTAGAACATATACTTCATAAAGAATTTGTGTCTAAAACATATAAAAATAGTTCTGAAATAACAATATATAAATGTCATATATGTTTATGTATGCAATATATATTTATGTGTACACACATAAACAAATACACATTTCATGATAAGAAATAAATAATAAAAAGATAATATTGTTCATAATTTGAATAATACAAATCAAACGAAAATCATGTAAGGTGCCAGTATACAACTGTTACAATGGCTAAAATCCAAACAAGAAAGAACAGCAGTGCTAGCCACGATGAAAATGAGGAAAATGCAAAAAGGCACAGTCATTTTTGAAGACAATTTTACAATTTCTTATCAGCGAAATATGAATTTGCCATAGAACCCAGCAGTCTCACTTCTAGATATTTACCTGAATGAGTAAATAACATAGTGTTGGATTATAACACAGTATATATAGATATACAGATATATATATATAGTCATACCAATAAAAAGAATGGTTTAACAAATAAATGGAGAAGTGATAAAACTTCTTTATAAACAAATTCCAAATGATATATATAAATACTAGTTGAATGCAAAAATTAAGCTCTAATCCCCTTGAACATGAACTGGACCTAAAAAGTCACTACCAGAGAATAGAGTTAGGGAAAGGGAAAAACTAATATAGAAAAGTCATGGCAAGCACTGTCTTAACTAAGTTTTGTGGGTTTTTTGAGAGAAATATTTTTGCTATAGGATGTGTGCACTCACCAGAGAGACAGAGAGATAGAAAGCGAGAACCCCCTCCCCCCAGAGGGATGGCCATGCCACAATCCCTTCTCCATTCTCTTCTTGGGATCTTGGGCACACACACACACACACACGCACACACACATCCGGTGTGAGTTTTAAGCTGCCAGGTCCAGGACTCAAACCGGGGTCCGCCATGTGGGAGTCCAACGATGTAACCATTACACCATCTGCTGGTCCCTTAACTAAGTTTTCTGAAAGTTAACAATATCACTAATGACTCATGTTGATATTGAGTATCTTCTGATATGACATAATATCATCTATGTGATAATCTTTCCTAAACATATAACCCTACTCTGGTCAGCATAAAACACAATTGAAACCCAAATCGAAGGACATTCTGCAAAATACCTAACCAATACTCTTGAAAACTTCAAGGCAGTTCTGAAACCAGCAGATAGTATAATGGTTACATTGCTGGACTTCCACGTATTCGACTGCTGTTCGAGTCCCTGGACCCAGCAGCTTAAATTCAGGCCAGGTGCATGTGCGGGTGTGCCCAAGATCCCTAGAGGAGAATGGAGGAGAAGGTATTGCAGCATGGCCATCCCTGGGGTGGGGGGTGCTAAGGGGAGTGAGGGGGGTGATGGGAGGTGATCTCTCACTTTCTGTCTCTCTGTCTCTCTCTGTCTTTCTGGCGAGCACACACACACCCTATAGCAAAAACCTCTAAAAAAAACAAATTCAAGGTTATTTTTAGAGAGGGAAAAAAAGGGGTAGGGAAGGAGGGGAGAAGAAGAAAAGAGAAGGGAGGGTTGGGAGGGAAAGGGAAGACTGAGAAACTATCATAACTGGGAGGAGACTGAGAAAACATGAAGATTAAATGAAACATGTATCCCAGATTGAATCCTTGAACAGAAAATGGCAATGGTGGAAAATTGCAGAATTTTAAATAAAGTCTAGAATTTAAATAATATCAATATACCAATGTTATTTACTTAGTTTTAACTAATTCACATGGTTAATATTAAGAGAAGGTGGGCCAGCAGGTGGCATGGTGGTTAAGGCGCTGGATACTCCCACATGGACGGCCACAGTTCAAGTCCTGAACCCAGTGCCTTGCCTTCTCAATTTTTCGAAGGTGATATATGGGAGTTTTCTATATTATCCTTGTGTCTTTTTTGTAAATCTGAAATCGTTCCAAAATAAAACATTTATTTTTTTAAATGCTAGAAATAAATAAAGCATAGAAAAATTCATATGTGTGTATACTAAATAGAAAAATATTAGAAAGATGCATGCCAACTTGTCACCATTAATTACCTTTTCAGGGAGAGGTAGGAATAGATAGGCCAATAAATAGCTTTCACTGGTTACTCTTGTTGTTATTTATTTCCAAAAACCTTTTTTACTGATAACATATCACTTATGACAAACAATCCAAAAGAAAAAAGAAAAAGAAATTACTGAAAACAAAACAAACAAACAAACAAACAAACAAAAAACAAGATAGCCAGGTTTCATGAGTACTAGCTATGTTTATCTTAGGAGAATGCTATTTGAGCCTGCAAGAAAGAAACATCCCTTCCAAGTGTGACTGCTACTGGAAGAAAGAGAATTTCTTCACCTTCATATAAATTTAGTAAGGGTTCATAAGAATGTGATCTCTTGTTTATGAATCAGAAAAGCAATCTAAGGAAAACAAGTCCCAGGACCAGCAAATGTCATAATGATTATGTCATTGGACTGCCACATAGTTGACCACGGTTCAAGTCCTGGACCTGGTGGCTTAAAACTTGTGCTGGGTGCATGTGTGTGCGTGCCCCAAAATCCCAAAAGGCGAATGGAGAAGAAGGGATTGCAGTGTGACCATCCCTCCTGGGAGGCAGGGGATGATTTCTCACTTTTTATCTCTTTGGCAAGTGCATGGGCCTTATAGCAAATATCTCTCTCTAAAAAAAAAAAAAAAAAAAAAAAAAAAAAAAAAAAAAAAAAAAGAGGAAAAAGAAAGAAAACAAGTCCCTAAAAGAAACCAAAATAAGGAACATATCTTTGAGGAACCCAGGAGAATAGAGTCCTGGATAAACAGTATAATTTTCCCCAATGGAGTCTCTTTTTGAGCAAAATCCAGTGCAATGGTGGTAAACAAAATGATTAATCGATGCCTAGGGACTTACTTCCTCTGTGGTTTCCTATTTGCCTCAAGAATCTTCTGGGGCATCTGATGTTGTCTTTTGTACTTGTAATTGTTTGTATGATCTCAAAAATACTGCTTTCAGGTGGAACACAAAACACTCAACTCTTCTAGCATTAAACTCTTCAGGAAGAAACCTGGAGCATTGCTGCTTGAAGAAACATAATGTGCTAAGGTAAACCCAGTGCAAATACTCACAGGTCATCTGAGAAGAGGATACCCTAGCTTCTAGTAATCATTTCTTCTGTTTTGTCCTGCTGCAGAGTAGTTCTTCCCTACTAGAGTCTTTTATAATAACTTGAGAAACCAAGGGAGAATATTTAGTTCAAATAATGGGGTGAAACTTTAAGAATATGGGCTAACATTAAAAACATTTTACCAAAAAAAATTGTATCCTGGATCTGCTTTTTTTTCTCTTCAGTTCCCACTTCCTTATCCTCAAGACTTTTTCACACTTCTATCTAAAATTGTAATAGTTCACTTACAGGAGAATGCAATTATTAGGTCCTACAAATGGTGAACCTAATAAATAGCAATGAAACAGAATTAGCAGTAAATACTCAGTTTATCATTATGTTTTCTATGGAAATTTTCTCCCCATCACTCCCTCCAGGAAACACCATTTGATCTTGGCTGGTTGAGAGAGGGGAAGTCTTAATGAACTAGTCATGTCTCAACCAGTTTTCCTTCTGTAACCTGTCCTTTACCCCAACTCCCAACTGCATTTTTAACCCTATAGGTCAATTGTGGATTTATCTGTTTTCTTAATGCCTAAGTACCATCTGAGTAATTAGTTACGTGGATATAAGAAAATATATTCCAGACTTAATTCCTTCTTTCCTGCTCTAGGCTACACAGTGTAGAAATTTCTCTTTTTCTACTGCCATAATCTTGTGAGGAGGAGTATCTTCTCACTGGAAGATAGACACAATCTAACTTCCCATTTACAGCTCTTAGAATCTTATTTAATAATTCTGAATTTATTCCTTCATGTTTTATATTGGATTGCTGTGAATAAATCTAAAGAAAAATGCAAGACTAACTATATTAGTTTATTCCCTGGCTAATGTATCCGACTAAAGAAAATGACCTTCAAGATTTTCTTTAAGTACAGGGATAACAGATTCATTTTCTACACTCTATTTCATACCCTTCTATGATTTCTTCCATGGATATAGGAAACCAGATCCACAGACAAAGGACCACTAAGAAAAGGGTTTATATCTTTTCCTACTGTGTGTTTAGCTATGGATGTATTCAGTGGCTACATTGACCTCAAGTCATTGGCTGTAGTGAAATTTGTTTGTGATGACAAGAAATTCATAGATCTCCATTATTGGAGCTTAACAGAAAACATTAAACAGATGACTAAGAATTAAACCATGAAAATATCTGAAAACCTAGCATCTACACCATGAAGCTGAGAAGTCATAGTTAGAACTTTGAAAAGTATTGTATAGACGTAATTCCTTTCCATTTGTTTTCATTCCTCATCCTTATTATGGATCACTGTAGTTAGAGTTTACTTCCCCACCACACTAATGTTGGGCTTCTACATGTGACTTGCTTTAGTCAGTAAAATATGGTTGAAAGTCAGATAATCCATTTCAATCCAGGCTTTAGGAGGAATTGTCAGGTTCTGCTTGCCCTTTTTTACCTTTTGCCACCCTCCTGAGAAGAAGAGGCCAGAATGAGAGATGGAGTATGTCTGTCCATGACCAGTTGAGTAAAGCAAAATACCAATCTGATCCACATAAGGGCAAAAAAATACATGTCTGTTGTCACAGTCACTGAAATTTGGATGGCTGTTTTTACATCACGTTGCTGAAACAAGAGCTGACTAATAAGACATATTTCAAACAACCTCATAACATTTTATTTGACTTTTTTTTCCCTTGCCTTCTTTTTCTTTTTTTTTTTTTTTTTTTTGGTTAAACCAGATCAGTCATAGCCATGGAAGGAGGAAATGAGACAATAACAACAGATTTTCTCCTTCTGGGACTCTTCCCCAATGTGAAGTATATCAGCATCATTATCTACACCATCATCCTGATCTACCTTGTTGCAGTTGCTGGAAACTTTATCCTGCTTCTTCTGATATGGATGGACTTGAGACTTCATACCCCAATGTACTTTCTGCTCAGTCAGCTTTCTTTAGTGGACCTAGCCCTCATCAGCAGCACTGTTCCAAAGATGGCCATCAACTTTTTTTCTGGAAGGAAAAGTATCACACGTCTTGCCTGTGGAACCCAGATATTTTTTTTCTTTACTCTTGGGGGTGCTGAATGCATCCTCCTGACCCTCATGGCATATGACCGTTATGTAGCTGTCTGTAACCCCCTAAGATATGCAGTCATCATGAACCAGAAAGTCTGTCTGCAAATGGCCATAGCATCCTGGATTGGGGGCATGTTAGCTTCAACAGCCCATACATTCTATACCATGAATCTGCCTATCTGTGGCTCTAGGGAAATACACCATTTCTTTTGTGAGATGCCAGCAATCATGAAGATCTCATGCAAAGACACTTCTACCTATGAGCTGGTGATCTTTGTCATGGGCATTGCATTTATCATTATTCCTTTTGTTCTTATCATGACTTCCTACACCCTCATTTTCCTCACTGTCCTTGCTATGAAATCACCCCAAGCAAGGAACAAAGCCTTTGCCACCTGTTCCTCACATATTACAGTGGTAAGTTTTTATCTAGGACCATGTGTTTATATGTACATGACACCTGGGTCCTCCCACACTCCTGAGCAGGAGCAGGCTGTGTCTGTATTTTGCACCATTCTCACGCCCATGCTAAATCCCCTCATCTACAGCCTGAGAAATAAGGATGTGGTGGGGGCTCTTCAGAAAGTCCTGGGAAAATATCCAGTCTCTAAGCAGAACACATAAATAAAAAGATAGAAAACAATTATCTAGATGACAAGAGGCGAAGACCACAGGAACATCCATAACACATTTTTCAGCATAAGTAACTTTGCTGCAGTCCTATAGGTAAATCATGATTGAATTCCATTGCCCTGTAGGTGAATCATATTGCTGAATTCAGTCTACAATATCAATGTAATCATAAAGAGTTCAATATGAAATGTTTTAAAGGTTTTTGCCATAGGGCACATGCACTCACCAGAAGAGACAGAAAATCATAGAAAGTGAGAAATCATCCTCTAGGAGGGATGGCCATGCTGCAATCCCTTCTCCTCCACCTCCTCTTGGGATTTTAGGCACATACACATGTGTCCGGCATGATTTTCAATCTAAACTGGAACTGCAGTTGAACACATGGGAATCCAGCACCTTAACCACCAGGCCACCTGCTGAGCCCAAAATGAGCTTTTTAAAAGATCTGTTTTCTAATCATTTGTTTCCAAAAAAGGTCAATTCAACTGCTATTTTTCAAACTTGTTCATAAGCACAGACAAAGACAAAAATCTCTATTTGTACTTGAATGTTTAGACATTTATCAGTGTCATTGAAACTCAGCTCTATTCAGTGCCACTGGTGATTCAGAGCTTGTTGATTTCCATTGCCAGAAATATCAACTTCCAAGGAAAGACAAATGTGGTTGATATACAAAAAGGGTGGACTTTATCTGGTACAACCATAACTTTCTTACCTTTTCTTTCTCTCTCTCTCTCAAATACCTAGGCAAATCCAACATGTTGATTCTATTCTCCCATCCCATCTTGAGTGGAAACATTCCTAGTCATTTTCTAATAAGCAAAAGTTTTAGGCTCAAGGCCAGCAGATGATGTAGCAGTTATGTTGTTGGACTCCAACTCGGCCAACTGTAGTTCAAGTCCTGGACCCAGTGGCTTGAAACTTATGCCAGGTGCATGCATGCCCAAGATCCCAGGAAGAGAATAGAAGAGAAAGGATTATGGTGTGGCCATCCTCTCCTGGGGAGTGACTTCTCACTTTCCCTCTCACTGTCTCTGTCTCTCTCTTTCTCTCTGGGCAAGCATATGCACCCTAAGGCAAAAACCTCTGGGGAAAACAGTTTTCAGCCCATGTACAGTTCAGGAAGACACTCAAATCAGAAATTAACACATCTAAATCTTCAGTAATAATAACAAGTCCTCTGTGTGAGTTAGATGCAGTTTGCTGCCAAGTTAGATGCAGTTTGCTGCCCTCTTTACTTGGCAAGTTCTAGGCCATGCTCACTAGTGATGAGTGGTGGCACATAGGAGAGAGAGTGGGGGTAAACATCTGAACAAGCTTTACTTAAAAGAAGCCTGTATACTTTGTCATGGTAAACATCTCTGAGATCACTATGTATTCATCCTAAGTCTTTTCCCTCATGGGAAAAACGTATTACACTTAAAGTTTAGTCTAAAAAGGTCAGTATGAGTATGCAAAGATAAAAATGACCAGAATCTTTTCTTTTTTTTTGGGGGGGGGGAGAGGTTTTCGCTATAGGGCACGTGCGCTCGCCAGACAGACAGAGACATAGAGACAGAAACCGAGAAATCACCCCCAAGGGGGGATGGTCATGCCGCAGTCCCTTCTCCTCCATTCTCCTCTCGGGATCTTGGGCACGCACGCACATGCGCCTGGCGTGAGATTTAAGCCACCAGGTCCGAGACGTGAACCGCGGTCGACTATGTGAGAGTCCAGTGACATAGCCATTACGCTAACTGCTGGTTCCCCAGAATCTTTTCTGAGGTTGGCAATCAAAATAATCACTATAGAAAGCAATGGGTTGAAAAGATAAAGGCCCATAACATAGATTTAGTGAAAATTAGGGATGAGTAAAATTTCTGTTGGTAGTATGAGCATTAGAGAGGTGTGGTGTTGGGGACCTCAGGGGGTCCAAGAGTACATACTAAAGAGACACAGATTGCTACCTAAGACTGAAGGTTGCCTCCCATAAGAGATGACAAAACAAAAGTGGGAGACTAACCAGATGTTACTGAGATCAAGGGCTAAAGGAGCAACCAAGCATTGTGCTATGTGAATTTGTGACAGTTCCTTCTGGCACAATCCCATTGTTCTTATAATAAAAGACCATGAAGTACTGTGGGAATTGTTTCATACCAATGTCGGTTCACGTTCAAGTAGTTTCTCTTGCTGGAGAAAGAATTACTTGAGTTATTTTTTTTTCTTTTGTATCTAATGAAATGGCTTCAGGTTCTCAGCTGACATCAGTCATAAGGAAACTTCACAATTATATTGTAATATCTATTGTCAACAATACCAATTGTGGGACCAGCAGATGATATAATGGTTACATTGCTGGACTCCTACATAGTCCACTGTGTTTGAGTCCCAGGCCTGGTGACTTAAAACTCACGCCAGGTGCATGTGTGTGCATGCCCAAGATCCAGAGAGGAAAATGGAGGAGAAGGTATCGTGGTGTGGCCATACTTCTAGAGGGTGATTTCTTGCTTTCTGTCTCTCTGTCTCTCTGTCTCTCTCTCTCTCTGGTAAGTGCATGAACCCTATAGCAAAAAAAAAAAAAATCTCTTTAAAAAAAATACCAGTTGTACTGCATAGGAAATAAAAGTCAAATTGCAGGGGTCAGCAGGTGGCATGGTGGTTGAGGTGCTGGACTCCCATATGGCTGATGGTGGTTTGAGTCCCAGACCTAGGAGCTTACTTTCTCACTTTCCCTCTCTCTCTCTCTCTCTCTCTCTCTCTCTCTCTCTTTCTTTCTCTCTCTCTCAGTCTCTCTCTGGTGAGCACATGTGTCCAATAGCAAATTTAAAAGAATAATAATAAGTTAAAATAAATAAGTAAATAACTTTTATTAAATGCTAAATTACAGTATATATTCTATTACACCCCCAGAACATTAAAAAACAAAAAGCACTATAACAGTCATTGGTAGGTAGAATGTGTCATAAAAGTCATCCTTGTGCATTGCCAATTGGAAAATGTGCAGTGTTATGCCTATTTTTGAATACGATTAAGTAAAATTAAACATTGCTCTTCTCAAGAATTTTAATTTTGGAAATTTTCCCAAATAAAAAATAAAGCTATCAATAAATAATACATGTACACGAAAGTTTTATTATTCAAATCTGATAACAACCAGTATGATTCTAGTTGAATACATTATGATACATCTATAACATGGAAATTTTTGCATATATTATAAAAGATGACTGCATCGATACATGAGGTCTAAAAGGGATTTTAGGTGAAAAAAGATTCAGAGAGGAACTGCATATAACAAAATAGCATTTTAAAAATAAACAGCAACTCAAATCTGTATTTGTGCATGTGTGTTTGTGTAATTTTGGTAAAGTTACTAAACAGCTTCCTTGATTTTCTGGGAATGTGAAGGTTAATATGTTTTTCTTTTTCTTTTTTTCTTTCTTTGTTTTTTTTTTTCTTTTTTTTTTGAGCGAGTGAGTGAGAGAGATATTTGTTATAGGGCACATGCACTTGCCAGAGAGACAGGAAGTGAGAAATCACCCCTCAGGGGGATGGCCATGCTGCAATCCCTTTCCTCCATTCTCCTCTTAGGATTTTGGGCATACACACACACGTCCCTGGCATGAGTTTTAAGCTTCTGGGTCTAGGACTCAAACTACGATCAACTACATGGGAGTTCAGTGACAGGACCATTACGCTGTCCGCAGTTACATTGAAGGCGAATCTTTTTGTATTTCTTTTTTGGAGAGGTTTTTGCTATAGGGTGCATGTGCTCGCCAGAAAGACAGAGAGAGACAGAGAGATAGAAAGCGAGAAATCACCCGCTAGGGGGGATGGCCATGCCACAATCCCTTCTCCTCCATTTTCTCAAGATCTTGGGCATGCACATACACGCACCCAGCATGAGTTTAAGCCACTGAGTCCAGGACTCGAACTGTGGTCGACTACATGGGAGTCCAGCGACATAGCCATTATGCTAACTGCTGGCCCCTTAGAATTATTTTATTTTATTTTTTTATTTATTCATCCATTTATGTTTAAATTTTACCAGAGGGAGGGAGACAGAGAGAGAGAGAGAAAGTAAGAAAAGCAAGCCACCAGGTCCAGGACTTGAACCATGGTCAGCCATGGTCTAGCACCTTAACCACCACTCCACCTGCTGGTCTCTGAAAGCTAATCTTTTTTTCTTGAAGTAAATGTTTATTTTGGTATAAAAAATTTTGAAAAACATGCACTGTTTTTTTCATGATATGGATTTTCCAATTACTTTTTTTTAATTTTTATTTTTTATTATCATCGTAATCTTCTTTATATTACATTGGATTACATATAACTTTACAGTGTATTACATTGCTTTTTCAAAAGGGAATGCCATGCATGTCAGTCAGTACAGAGACATTAATCTCCCCGCTTTGAAGGCTAATCTTAAAAGAAGAGAAAAAGACCAAAAAAAAGTCTATAATTACAGAAAAATGAAAAGTCCTGTGCATTTTCCTCTCTCAGTCATTTAAATCGTGTGTGTGTGTGTGTGTGTGTGTCTGGATGAATAAGACAATGTACTATATATTAATACTGGTTATCCATTCCTCATAAGATTCTATGCTGCCTTTACTCACTTCCATATTTTATTTATTTATTTGTTTGTTTATTTATTTATTTATTTTTATTTATTTTCTTTTATACATTCAATCACGTTATTTAGCTTACGAAGTGACTATTTCAACATGTGTACATTTCTCCCTACATTTATAGTTGATAATACTATAAAATTATAATACTATAAAATTATCTTCGGCAGATAATACCACGTCTTTATCCCATTAATCCTTTGCCTCTCTATTTTTCTTCTAAATGTCCTTCCTCAGACTCTACTCTTTCACAAACACTATATCTGATATTCACAACCATTTACTGTGTTGCTATATTTCTTCATATTTTTTACTTCATTTATTTATTTTACAATAAACAAATAAAGGAGGTCAGCAGGTGGCATGATGGTTAAAGTGCTGGAC